GAGAACATGGCCTGAGCCATAGGCATTGCCGGTTCCGGCACCACACATGGATCTGCTATCAATAGTCCAGTGGAAATACTGTGAACAGACCAGGGTGCCGCCAATCTGACTGGCCGTGCAGACATCTTTCACTGTGGGGTCGACAGATGTTTGCGACGATGCTCGAAACACATGTGGACGACAAACGGCTCGCTTGAGCCTGTGAAGCAGAACATTCTTTCATAATTGTCACGTCCAGAAAATAGCCCAAAGCGTCTGATGGCTGTTTGAGGAGTCGCCTGCTCCGGTCCGATCGTTTCGGCCCCCGGCGACAGTCAACCAGTCACAACAAGGGAGTCTTTCGTCCACTTCTCGCGGCTGCGTGAAGATGGCTCGTTTATGGTTTTTCGGGACGTGGTCGAAGCAATAAAGATGTTGGTACAGTGCTCTTTGTGCCCTTCTACGCCCGCCTGCAGTTGATGTTGCTGCGATAGAGAAAAGCTAGATCTCAATATCTCGATTTTGGGGCGTCTGATTTAGGCTGCACACTGTCAAGCCTTGGTTGCCAGGACAGAGAGGTGGCCGCATACCCCAGCATCCGTTACTGAGGATCCCGTCCCAATCGCTCATTCGGTCACACCGTGTGCGCGTGCCGCCGAATTAAGGCTGCAGAATGCGCTAGTTCCCGTGCCTGCCGTAGCGCGTAAATTTACTTGGGCTTTTTATGAGGCCTTGAGAATTTGATGCTGATCGTCCGCAACATCTCAGATTGTCCCGGGGTTGTATACTACCACGCTTCTGCTCGATAACCCAACTTCATGACATCGGCGGCGTGTTAGCTTGTTTACTTCATGGCCACCATGTTACTGTGTTTTCGTCAGACTGCGAGTTTTTAATATAGGTGTGCCAAACCGCGGCTGGCCGCTCCTTGATAGCGCTTTCTGCGAATTGGCGGTTTCTTGATCGCTAAACCTCAGAACCTCTTTGATGATTGGTTCTCGCTGAAGGCCCACTTTTCGCCTCTTATTGACTCTGACTGGTCAGCAATTAAGCATGTAGGTAGGTCCCTTCCTCTTGCGATTTCACTTACCCTGTCGCAGATTGTTCAGCACCGCACATTACGAACGCGAGGGGAAATAATCGAAAAACTGTTGACACTGGTAACGGTCAGTTACAAACGGCGAAAGTTGTGGGTAGGCCAGACTTGAAGAGGTTGCTTACCCCGACTTTCTGAACGCACTGATTTGGAAGTAGCCGCTGAGGGTCTCGCCGGTGTGGTCCGCATTGTTAATCAGTTCTGGCAGAAGCCAATGCGTATGGAAACGGCATGCCATTGTGTCTGCAAAGCTCGTCGCCGTTGTTTAAAAATCTATTGTGCTGAAGCAGTAGCATCCCTCCCGGGCTATCTTGAAGTTAAAGAGAATGCGCGGAGTAGAAGGTTATATATACTTCCGTAGCGGGAACACAGCTAGTCAAGAATAAATTCGGAGTTCGGGCGGCGTGGTGAACCGTGGAATTAGGTATCTGTCCGCCAAGTGCCTCTATGCGTCAGTTGGCACCCAGTTTGTGTCGCCTGAAAAGAACAGGCAAATTTTTGGATTTATGATTGCCGTGTATCCTGTATTCGTTTAGTTTTTCCAGGCGGTCCGACTTTTTCAGGGCATAGATTGTATTAAGGGACAGGAGACAAGCAATCTCACCATATTCGGCCACCTGCAGTGTACACCGGAGCGGCAAAACGATGCAATCGTCTGGGATGCAAGTAAACATGACTTAGTCAACCGATCTTGCACAATCAGCAAACATCCTGTCCTACAGGCTGCTCCATCCCAATCATCTTTGTCGCCCATCCTTTTTTCCCAGACAGCCATACTCAAAGCGGTATCTTCGGTCTGCTCAAGGATTTTTTTCACTCAGCCCATGCCCTTCCAATCATTGAATCTGCAGGAGAGAACCGTCGTGTATAGCATCCTATTCCTGCTCCAGACTGCCATACACTGACGGTCAGTCGGTCGATGCTTTACACTAATAACGTAAGAAAAGCAAAATTTGACACAAAAGCCTTCAGACTAAGTAGGACTCGGGGCACCTGTTGAGAGCAGTTCTCAGTAACTGTCGTGCTGGCCAACGAAATTTTACCTTATTGTTAACAGAGTGATTTGTCGGACGATGAAGCGGGTGAACGGCAAGCTCAAGATGAATCATATCGGCTAAGGATTTTCGGAATATTCGTGGTCGCTACCGTCGGCCAATTCAACTGGTTGCTTACCGAGGACTAGGCTGTTGGCAGCGGTTCTGGATTTATTCCTGATGCGCGGTACAACTGTGTTCTCAGCCGTGGGTATCTTACCAGGCTGCCCAAGTTGCGCTATTGACTGAAATAGACCTGCTGATTACCTCTGCATCTAATCACACAGGCGTCTAAACTCTGGCCGGGATTAGACCGGATGGTTGCATTTTGCCTGCGTAATTCGCGTTGACAACTCATGTAGTAAAGGGTAATTCGGGCTGTTATTATATGGTCACGTTAGAATTTTATCGCGCTGAGCCTGGTGGAGCAGTGCCTGGAGTACTAAAATACGCCCAGCGCCACAGTTTTACACTCCTACAGAGAAGGTTAAAGAAGTTAAAAACTTGGACAAAACCCATGGGATTGTTAGTCCACGCCGTAAGTTTGAACGATTCATATTTGACGTTCTTTGCGACCTCGTTCCGCAAAATCGGGATCATTCTGAATGGAACCCGACTGCAGCCTGTAGGAAGTCCTAGAATGCTCGACAACATGCACCCGCCATCTTTGGAGAAGGTTCTAGAAAGCGCGCCTCTTTAGGGGCGTGCCCGCCGTTTTTTCCATATTTATACGCCAGGCACTTAGTCGCAATTTGGCCTCTCACAAAAAGTATGCATATAATAAATTATTATAACCCTAAAATTAAGCAATATAGCCCTGGCCTAAGTTTGTTTAACTTTCCACCCTTGACCTACCCTCAACAAATCAACAATGGCTGACCCAACCTTGTCGAATTCCGCTCTGGAGAAGCTATAAATACAGGCGAGGATTAACCTCCGACAACCCCGTGGCAGGCCGCCAACCTTCGGACGTGGGACCTCTGTCGCTGTCTTCGTTGGATCCCCGTGCCTCCGCCAATCCCGCTGGACAACCTCTCCTTGCCCCAGTTTATTTTTGTAATTAGGTTTCCCCTCTTTAGTCTGTTGTTGTACATAGGCGTTTCAGTACATAGAAGTTACCGAAGCCTTACTTTCCTGGACCGTTCCTCGTACTGACATTCGGGCTCGTTATAAATTGGTGGCAGCGGTGACCACTGTGTCGGATAACATAGTGGGCAAACGTGTTTAAGGAGCTGCAGAAGCTGGACCTGCAGCAGCCGTCTGCACCCATGCCGAAAAATCATCGCTGGGCGCTGACTTCGGTCGATGGGAAGCCAGAGTGTTAGATTACCTGCGCGGGGTTGATGCTTCGGCGCAAAACGGAACCATCTTGGGCCTGCTGGACGACGAAGTTTACGACCTCGCACGGACAGCAGACATTTCCTCTTCCATGTCGGCGTCGGACATCCCGAATCGCCTTCGCGCAATTCTCGGGACGTCTGTGCACCCTTGGATTCTGGAGTC